GACTGTGGAAAGTTTGAGATGCTTAAACATGGCCGTGGAGACAACATTCGGGCTGCCATCACCATCACTAATTGGCTTCTGAGCTTGGTTTCCAAAATGAACTTGTGTCTCAAAATTAGAGGTCTGCTGCCCATCTTTGCCACCAACTTTAGGGTCTTCAAGGATGCGCGTCAGAACGGAGATGGACGAAACAATCTCTCCAACTTCTTTCACATGATCAGTGTTGCAGTTCTCATCATCAAGTAGGTTCTCACAATCCTTGCTAGCCATCGTACTCTTTCCTTCAGGATCAGCCATGTTAGATAAAGATGGTTTTGATTCATCATTTGGCTGCATTGTTGTTGTTTGTGTGCAGTGAGTTCCATCACGTAACTTCTTTGTAATATCTCCAGCAACATCACGTGACTCATGATGATTCATCTCTAATGGATTTCTTGGAAACTCCAACATGGGATGGAGTGGTGGATCAACCTTCAAATTACACCTTTGCAGAGAGTGTAAAGGCTGTTGTTGCTTGCGGTTTCTGCCATCATTATTACCCAGTGCATATTCGTCTTTAAGGGCTACCAATTTGTTAAAAGGCTGGGAAATTCGAGCGCTTATCCTATCGCATTAAGCATTCAGCCCTTTAAGCTTTTCCAAAATTTGTAACAGCAACTCAGTCTTCTAATTATTGTCCGATCTTTCATTGCCCGATTGAGTAAACATAATGTCTACTTAGGCTCTGATACCAAAAACTGATGTAGGACAAAGGACAGGCTCAAATAGAAGAAAGTAAATAAGAGTTATGGACTGGAAATTCATAAACAAAGCTAAGATTCAAGGGTTGTTAGTAGAAAAGAAGGATTGAAAATAACAAAGAAAAGCCTATTGGAATTACTCCAATAGGACCTAGGTATCACACCTAGAGAAGGCCTCACACCCTCAGAATTTGTGAATCACTCACAAAGAAATCTCAAAGGATAATTTTATTCAATCATTAGCTAAGTATTCAGAGTTACATCGTATCCTTTTTATAATAAAAGATGACCCTTGGATTACCCTACAATGGAGGTAATCAAAAGTTGACTCTAACTTATTATAATAAAAGATGACCCTTGAATTACCCTACAATGGAGGTAATCAAAAGTTGACTCTAACTTAATAAAGTAACAAATAACTTAATTGATGCAATTTACCAAAACAAGGTAATCAAAAGTTGACTCTAACTTAATAAAGTAACAAATAGCTTAATTGATGCAATTACCAAAATAATGAAATTTGACCAAACCCCCTAATTATGCAAGACTCCAAGTGGACCCCCCATCATCTAGCCTGTGCCAAATTAAGGTTTGACCCTTAGAACCCTCCTTGCCACACCTTTTATATACTTTAAAAGGCTGTTGTCACTGTTCTCTACCATGATGTTAGAGGAGAACGTCGTTCTATGTCCCCAATGGCTTTGTTCTAAGCCAAGGAAGCTTAAGATTGTTGAGTCCAAACCAAGTTTCCTATCACACGAAAATCGAATTATCTGGTGTAAAAATGAAAGGGAAACAAAAACAACATTGAAAATAAATTTGGAACAACAACTTTCGAAAATTGGAAATAGGCTTTTTCCTCTCCTCAATAGCCGAGCCCTCCATTTTCTCTCTCCATATCACACTTTCAAGCTCCAATTTCATCTATTTCCTTCATGATTTGAACTTTGCCATTGAAGGCAAAGTTAACGAGCTCAACGAAAGTCACGATTTGATCGGAGCCGATTTTCATTTGGACCACCTTGGTGATTTAGAAAATTTTGGAATTTTGGGACTTTTGCTTGATTCTAGAGGTAAGGGTCTCTAAACCTCACATCCTTTGGTTTCTTGTGAGTTGATCCCCTTTCTTGTGAGTTAATCCCTTTAAATTGTACTATGGCATGTGTAATTTGTGAAATTGATGCATGACCATTAGGGTTTATTATTGTAAGGCATGATATTTATGTTTTATGTGGTATGTGTGTTGAATTGCATGCTTATATGAATTAATGTGAGATTATTAGATGAATTGTTCCTACTACATGCTTTCATGTCTAAAATGCCTTAATTACGAGATTGATAGCATAAGAATTGTTGTATTGATTATTTCCAAAGCATGCAAGAATGATGGTAGCTAATATATGAATTTTCATACTGTTATAATGTTGAAGTTCATGATACATTCATGCATTGGCATTGGATGAGTAAAGGGATATTGATTTTGAAATGAAAATTTGATTTTTGGAAAGGTTTTTTTTTTTTTTTTTTTGATAAGTAAATATATATTAACAGAGGCACTTAATCGGGAGCAAACCCTTAACAAAGCAAACAAAAGACACAAAAAGCGCCATAAAACCGATAAGTTGTCAACAAAATCCAAAAAATTATCCTGAACAATTTTTCCCAATAACCCAAAAATAAAGAGAATGCAAAATATTCGACTTAATAACCCACGCTAGCGACTCCTTTTCATCAAAAGATCTCCTGTTCCGCTCGTGCCACAACCCCCACCATCATACACAAAGAGGGGTTACCCTCCAAGCTTTTCTAACCCAACTGCCCACTTGTCTCCCTCTCCAAGCCTCTAACATATCCATCGTGGTCCTTGACACAACCCACTCTACTCCAAAAACATTCAGGACCATACTCCAAACATCCGTTGCCACTTCGCAGTGCAGTAAGAGATGGTTAACCGATTCACCCGTCTTCTTACACATGCAACACCAATTAACTATTATTTGGCATCTTCTTCTAAGATTATCGAGAGTAAGAATGCTGCCAAGCACCGCTGTCCTAGTAAAAAAAGCCACCTTCAATGGAGCTGAAGTCCTCCACATAGCCTTCAAGGGAAAACATTGCTTGTCGAATTCATAAGGCTTTGGTAAAACAACCTCACCTCAAACACCCCTCTAGAACCCCCCATCCACACCATCTCATCCCTTCCTTCCCCCTCCACTGCTTGATTTTTGGAAAAGTTTTGAAAGGATGTTTGCGAAAACCGGACGACAAGGAGTTGCCTTGTGTCCATGGCGTTAATGGAACCTAGAGGGAACATAGGGAGACTGCCCTATGCGTGGTTGAGCTACCCAAGCCCCAAATGAGATATGTGAGATGCGTTCTTGTTTGGTTTCAAGTCGTTTCTAGGTTGAAGGTAAATGTGGGAAAGAGTGTTATGGTTCCAGTTGGTGAGGTGCTTGATCTTTCCATCTTAGCAGACATCCTTGGTTGCAATACATGTTCTCTTCCTATTTCTTACTTAGGGTTACACCTTGGGACGTCGTCGAAAAGAGTGGGGAGTTGGGATCCTATGGTGTAAATGTTCGAGAGGAGATTGGCAAGGTGGAAGATGCAATATCTCTAAAAAGGTGGGAGAGTTACTTTGATGAAGAGCACTTTGTCAAACCTTCCCACTTATTTCCTCTCCCTTTTTCAGATTTCGTCTTCTGTGGTTGAGAGGATTGAGAGGTTACAACGGAATTTTCTTTGGGGTGGGACAGGGGATGAGTTTAAGTTTCATTTGGTCCGTTAGGAGCAAGTTTGTTCCGATTCGGAAGGGAGGGTTGGACATCAGAAGGCTGGTTACTTTCAACAAGGCTCTTTTAGGGAAGTCGATATGGAGAGTTGGGGTGGAGAGGCACAAACTATGGAGGATGGTAATTGCTAGTATTTTTGGGGAGGCGAGAGGTGGTTCTTGTGCTGGGATGTGGAAATCCATTTGGAAGGAGGGGTGGTTACAATTTTCCAAACACATCAGATTTTGTGTTAGGGATGATGGTAGGGGGATTCGCTTTGGGGAGGATTTATGGTGTGGCAATCGATCTCTTGCTCTTTCATTTCCCAGACTCTTCAGGTTTGCTACGGATAGACATGCCTTGGTAGTTGATTGGTATCGGGTTGATAGCGGGAGAACAACTTGGGGCGTGCGCCTTTCGCAGCACTTTCAAGATTGGGAGATTGAGGACGTCATCAGCTTGTTGGAGATGTTGTATCGCCATTAGATTGTGAGTGGAGTTTCTAACTCTTGGGTGTGGGTTCCCTCCTCTCGTGGATGTTTTGATGTACAATCCTTCTTTAGGTGTCTTTCAGATGTTCTTGGAGATCCCTTCCCATGGAAGGCTATATGGCGGTCTAAGGCCCCTCTCAAGGTGGCTTTCTTTGCTTGGACATTTGTTTTGGGGAAGATATTGACTCAGAATAACCTAAGGCAGAGGAGACATGTGGTGGTCAACTGTTGCTACATGTGTAAGAGAGACGAGGATATTGGAAGATCACCTTCTTTTGCATTGTCACATGGCTTGGGATTGCTAGGTTATGCTTTTGGATTTGTTTGGATTCCAATGGGTTATGCCCAAGTCCTCGAGAGACTTGCTGGAGGCTTAGAGAGGGTGTATAGTGGGGGCCCAAGTCCGTGATTTCTGGAAGGTTGCACCTTTGTGCGTTTGGTGGTGCTTATGGCTCGAAAGAATTTGAGATCCTTTGATGGAAACGAAAATCTTATTGGTGTGCTGAAATTCTCTATTATTAGCACTCTTTTTTGTTGGGTTCTAGGGAGCAATTATAAATCCATGGAGGAGATAATTGATTTTTTGGACTATTTGAGAGTTAAGAGGCCCTATTTGGCCTTCTGTTGCTTGTGAGGGATGTGTTCCCCTTTTGAAGCCTTTTTTTTAATACAATCTTGCTTATCAAAAAATATATATACACACTAAATCCTAGGGGATAAACAAAATAAAATTTCATAAAAAGAAACCTGGTTAACGTGAGTATAATACTATATATATGTCAATAAGTCTAAAAGGAAATGGGTTTTGAGTTGTGAGAAAGAATTGGTGTGGCCTCCTCTGTTATATTAGATACTAACTAGAGTAAGAAAAGCATTATAAGTAATAGTCTACGACAGAAAGGCATATACAAGAAATAATAATAATAATAATAATAATCGAAGCAATTGGTTTGGGCATTAATTTTAAAAATTATAGATGTAATTAATTAGTTAGTTACCTGCGCCAATGAGCAATGGAGGCACCAAAACCATGAACAAGAAGCAGAGGTGGAGTTCCTTCTTCCCCAATGCCATTAGTATTGTTAATGACCAAGTAATTGATGGTGTGGCCTTTCCACTTCCACTTAATGCACCTCTCCTTTATCTCTCTCACTTCCAACAACTCGGTGGTGGTGGTGGTGGTGCTATTGTTGCTTCCACCACCGCTGAACAAATTAGACACGCCGGAAGAAGAAGAAGATGATGATGATAATGATGATGTAACACTAGCACTGGCAGATCGACTGACAAGCTTTCCTCTGCAGACTTGCCGCTGATTTCGCAATGGTAAAGAAGATGATAAAACGTGAGGAAGACTGTGGTGGTGGACAGGGAAACTCACAGCGCCACCAGTGCCTGATAAGGCTGCTTTTTTTGCCAAGACCCTCATAGTTGCCGTCTCTCTCTTACTTTCTCTCTCACGCACGGGAGTAAATAAAATAAATTGGAGTTTTTGGAACCATCGAAAACTATGTTTAGATATTAAAAAGGAAATAATAAAATAAAATAAATTGAATATCATTGGCACTAAAAGTAAAAGATTTAGTTAGAAGTTAATTTAATTTAAAATAACTTTGGAACCATAATTATTATAATGTAAACACTCAAAAATAAATAAATAAATAAATAAATAAATAAATACATCATCCCTCATTATATAATACAACATCTACCATTTTCACTATAAAATTGTTCTTCATAACTTACTTACTTTCTTTACCTTTTTTTTTTTTTTCTTTTCAAAAAGTCCCCAGCCTTTTAATTTTATTGTCAAAAGAGTTGGGATTTTATTTATCAACAAATACGAGGTAAACTTAAAATTTCAAATTAATTCTTAAAAATCACATTTGGAAAAAAAATTAAACTAAACTCAAATCATAAAATAGAAAAGAAAAATATAAAAAAAAAAAAAAATACCATTACTATCACCATCCAAATTAATTTTTAAAAACCACATTAGAAAAAAAAAAAATCCAAACATAAACATAGAGCATAAAAAAAAAAAAAAAAAAAAAAAAAAACAAATTATCATTCCTGTCACTATTACCATCATCAAAAGAGTTTAATGGTTGATGAAATTTTAATAGTTATTTAATATTTTTTATGCTAACAAGATCAATTACATCATTACACTATGTTATTTCTTTACTTGTAAAATCTTTCATTATTACTTATAAAAATCAATATCAAACCCTAGTGAGAGAGAAGAGAAAGTTAATACAAAATAGATAAAGAGTTTAGAAAGGCAGGACACAAAAGAAAAGGAGGGGGTTAACAAAAAAAAAAATGCATAATACCAAAAACGTTGTTGATTGGAAAAGAAGGGGAGACAAAAAGATATTACTATAACTGAAAAGGGTAGTTATCATATTTGAGAACAAAAAAAAAAAAAATTATTGATCTTTAAAGTTAAGGTTAGAGGTGTCATTTCCTTTAAGATTGGAGTGCAATCGTATAAAAGTAGAGTACGAATTTTGAGATGACCCTGAATTTTTCAACCTAGTGTGTCCAGTGATGACCCGAAACGGATCCAAAAATGCGGAAGCTAAATAGAAACATGACCTCTAGAGATATGCATCATTCCTAAGACACAAAAATGACTTCCTGAGGAGTCCCGAGGCTCAATAGAAGCAAGAAGGAAACAAGAATTCCAAAACCTTACAAGAAATGGACCAAGGGTAAAATAGTCATTTCACCTATAAATGAGGGCTACCGTGCATACCATTGGAAAGACAACGAAAAAGACTCAAGAATCGTTTGATTCGGAGTCCGGACGGAAGAGATGTGAAAATAGGACAAAACGGCGTCCTCCGATTAAGAGGTATCACGATCCTATCTCACTAAAACTAATATAACTCTCACTACGGTTGGAGTTTTTTAGTGTGGTTGGTATCATTGGAAATCTTACTTCAAGCTCTTGAGTTTAGGCTTAAGAATGACTTGATTTGGATCAAAAACTGAAGGAGATATGACCCTCTGAATTTGACTCAAGAAAGCTGTCCAAGAAGCTGAAAGGAAACCATGCTCCATGGAGGATCAGCCAGCTGACGTACAGTACCAGCTAGCCAAAATGCCACTTTTCACTTGTAAACCTACTGGAATTGGTCTCGAGCAGTCATCAGTCAACTAATGACTGCTATCAACCGACCGATGGACCTTGTAGCAGTAGAAAAAGGTGCTATAATCCATGGGGAAGGTGCTTGGCTCAATCCTAAAGCTATGCATGCTTCCCATTTGATCCAGACAAGTTTCAAAACATTCCATTATCACAATTACGCATCCTTAACATGTTAAAACAGAAAGGAAGCTTAAATCAACTCTAATACATGAGTTTTTCATAAAATTCATAAAATTGCCCAAAAATAGTTCCAAAATTGAAACTTAAGAGTTTTGCGAAATGTAAACATGCACGCAAATGTAAAAAGACATTTAAGACGCGTCCCGATGATCCGCGGCTTCAAAATAACCCCAATGTAAAATATGACCTCTCAACAGCCAAAAATGCCTTTAAATGTAATATATGAAACAAAAACGTAAAATCTATAACAAAATGGTGTTTGGCCCTTGGCCACACCTTATACATGATCATAGAGACCCTATAAAAGAAAAAGAATGGAATGTCCACATCCGATGTAAACATGGTGAAGCAAAGACTTAAAAGCGAAAGTGCATAGAATACATATTTAATGCCATTGGCCCATGGCCTCAACTCATACATGTCAAATACATTAAAAATAGTGTACTTATGTACACATTACATATATGGAATCAAAGATACAAATTTTGATATACAAGCCTACAAAATGACATTTCATGCTAACATTTACATGAAATGGAAATTTAAATGTTACAAGTCATCCAAGGAATGATGAGCATCACGAACCAAATCTTCATACCTGAAAAATGTCCCCAGTAACTTCGGGGTGAGTAACATAAAGCTACTCGTAGGAAATGAGCATGCATAGACATAGCATTTTACAAAATTATCACCTTAAGGTGAAACAAGTCAAAGGGGCTCATGCCACCTAATGCCTATGTCAAAATGAAACTCAGGGAGCATCATAAGTTACCTTAAATCATTTCTAGCATTAATCACATCATTCATGCAATTTAACAACATGGAAGCATGTTATACAACGCAATAAGATATAGATTTTCAAAGTCCTCAACTTGAAATCTAAAACACGAAAACAACTAAAGTGGATCATGCGCCCTAACGTCTATGTTCTAAATGAATCTATAGGATTGTTCCTAAGTTACATTTGAACATCAAAACATAAATCACAATATCGATGCAATTTAACCAACATTGGAACTTCCAATACAACGCATAACGCATGATTTCTCAAAGTTAACATCTTGAAACTTAAAATGAGAAATCAAATAAAGAACAACAAGTTACAACATTATCTAGTTATCAACTTGAAATACAGTGTGAAATCAAACAAGGTGGATACTTGGACATCACGCCGGATCAAACCGACACCATAGTTATTCTAAGGTTACTAGCCCACGGGTAACCTCCCTATGTGCGCACTAGACTATAGAAGGATAATCCCCCGTACTAGAATCATGTCCTAGCCATAGTCAAACAACAACATCTCCAAGTTTCCAAAATCAACAAGTTGTGCAACAACGTATATATCAACATGAATATATAAGATAATCAACTATCTACCAAGTACAACCAAATTTGGAAACACATACAATACATACACTAAGTCCACAACTATTATGGCATGACAAATGTCAAATCTTCAGTGTGTGATTCGTTACACGCTATGGCAATCTCATTCAATATTGAAAACACATACTCAGGAATCTAATGCAAGTCCAAAATCATAAGTTAAACATACAACTAACGTCAAATACATGATTATATCATTAATGCAATAGAAACAGAAATAATTAAATAAACAAATTAATTTCCCTAGGTTTCAAATCTCCACTAAATAATCCATAATCAGTATAGCATGGTCATTATAAAAATCAAGTTAACAACTTAATTAAGCCAATGAGACCATTAAATAGATTTTAATTAATTCTTTTTATTAAAATCTCTAAATTTTTAAATTCATCCAAATGCTCTCAAATTAACATAGGTTAGAGAATATGCCAAGGCCTACTTTAATATCATATTATAAGTTGGTTTCATGCTTGATACAACCATATGAATTAATCTTTCACAAAAGATAAATATTAAATAAAAGTTGCAATTCTTATTCACATAATCCAAATTTAATATATGTCAACAACCATACCAAGGCGTAAATTTCTAGCATGCCACAATTTAATTCTAAGTTACATATCATCATGAGAATTAAATCTTAAACATATATAGAAAATAATTAAATTAAATTCTAAAACTTGAATTAAAGCATGCATACAAGTTGTATAAGTATCTAAAATCATCAATACGCGCTCAAACGCCAAAACTCCATGAACAAAAAAGAACCAAAATAAGAAAATATGAACAACAGAAGAAACAACATCGAAAACTAAGTCCTGAGCAGAGAGATATGTCCCGAACAAGTTCGGTGGCAACTTGGGCCAGAAACCCTGAAATTGGGGAAAAACGACCAGAAGGAAATTCTAAGAGTACAAGACTTGACGAAAAGTGAAAATGAACCCTGTACAAGGATTCAGGCTTAAAACGAGGAATTTTTGCAATAACTTTCATTAATTGCACAAGGGCCCCTCCAAAAAGGGTTAATTGTACTAATGACCCAGAATGAAAATATCTTCCAAAAATATTTTCTTAAAAACCTGTGAAATAAAATATCTTCAATAGATATTTACGAAAAACACCCCAAGAAAAGAAAATATTTCCAAAGAACTATGCATCCATGCCCTATGGACACCGGGAGCAATCAGAGTACTTTCTTACAAAAGTAAAGATACGTATTTTGTGGAAACCGCTTAGGATGAAGGTACGTGAAGTCAAAAACCAACTCCGAACATGAAAAGTGAGGTTATGCCAAAAAGTGACAAACGGGAAAAAGACAAAATAGGGAAAAGGACAAAAAGTGAATAGTGTCAGAAAACGAAAAATGCGGAAATGACTCGGTCCTTAAAGGAAGTTGTAAATTTAAAGGAAAGAATCTCGGAAACCATTTTCAAGCACTCGAGACGACACTAAGTGACGAGAAACCAAACACAGAAGAGAAAAGACAACGGAAAAAATTTATCCGTAAAATTTGAGGAAAAAGGAAAGGAAGAAAATGATCGGGTCATTACAACCTTCCCACCTTAAAGGGATTTCGTCCCCGAAATCTAACTCCAACAAACAAAAGGCGAAACCAGGATAACTATGGAGTACATCTCCGAGTATCCCTCACAACATGCTACAAAAGTAACCCCAAAACTGAAAGACAACCCACAAACCAATGTCATTTGCACCCACATGCTTATGACAGGACAACCTCTCAAAAGAAAAGTGACCACA